AATACAAAAAAAGTGAGAGTGAGCTAAAGCCCTTTTTTTCCCCAGACAAACAAAAGCAGAGATTGTTCTTTGCCAGTTGACTTGCAGTAAGTAAATGTGAAAGGAACTTTTCAGATGAAAGGAAATTTAGATAAAAATTTGGACCTACACTAAAGAACGGAGAATACTAGAAGTGATAAATAGGTGGCTGACTATAAAAGGCTTTTTCTCTCCACATTTTTAAATTTTAAAAGAAAAGCAAACTTCTAGTTTCAGCTCTGACATGTAAAGAAGTTAGAAATCATCACTCTTGTCCTTAACAGCATGACCACACTGGAAATAAAGGACTTGTCTTAGATGCATCAGAAAGTTGAGGTCTTCCTGTAGTATCCATAGTCTTTCACTCCTTGAACAGTAAGGAATAGTGCTATAATCATGAAAACATATGTTGGACTCCCTGTTTGCATTGGGCATTGTAAAACACACGTTTAACCCACTATTGTGTTCTGTGCAGATGAAGATCAGGCTCAAAAAAAAGTCACCCATGACTCCATGGCCAGTAAGGGGCAGCATCAGGATTTGAACCCAAATCAACCTTTTTTCACAGTAGTAGCTGCTTCCTAATAATCTCTTATTCACTCATTGAACCTTTGTTAAACACCTTTGATGTTAAATCTCTGTGCACGGCATTGAAATACTGTATAAAAATGAATGACTTCCTTGAAGAGGGGCTAGAATGTGTTCCTGTCCATTCAAAAGATAGTTATTGAATACCTGTTATGTGCCATGCCCCAGGTTAAGCCAGGGACTGCAGTGAGAAAAATGCTGACCATCCTGTGCTCATGGAGCTTGGAGGAACTGGTGTTGGAGACAGTAGCCAGGAAGCCATACTGCAGTGTGATAAGTCATCTCATGAGGCCTGCTGAGTGCGCTCTGGGAGCCTAGGGAAAAGCACTTGGCTCAGGCTTGGAGGATCAGGAAGGCTTTTTAGAGGGATTGGTGTCTCTGCTGAATCTACATAGTCGCAGACAGCTCTGTAGGACAGGCAGCACAGATAAACGAGTGACAAGTGAGGCCCATTCTTGGGAACAGAAGTGCTCTTCCTGAATACCACATGCATTGGCATATTCTTCACTTCCACACAAATAATATTCTCTTCCATTTTTCCTGAAATATGACCCATGTAGTTAGTCACAAGTGCAGGGAAAAATTGGCCTCCTCTAAATTAATTGTGTAAATGTGATAAATGATCACTGTTTCTTAGCCTCTGTATTGTTATTTGATTCTTGTTTCTTTTTTCTTAATCTAGAATAGCTCATTTCTTTTTATTGCTGAGTAACATTCTGTCTTATGTATGTACCATTTGCTTATCCACTTGTCTGATAAAAGATTTATTCTAACAGACATACAGTTGTTCCTCACTGTTGTTTAGTTTGTATTTCCCTATCAAGTGATGATTTCCAAGTTCTTTGAAATTGGGCATCTTTTTATTTGCTTATTTTCTATGTATATGTCTTCATTGGTAAGATGTGTGTTCAGATGTTTTACTCATTTTATTTGGGTATTTTGTTTCCTTGATGAATTTTAAGAATTCTTTGAATAGTTCATATACTGTCATTTATTAGATATGTGTTTTGGCCTATGATTTCATTGTGTGATCCATGTCTTTCACAAAGATAATTTTAAGACTTTAATAATTAGTTAAACAACTTTTTTTAACCAATCATGCTTTTGGTATTGTGTGTAAATAATTGTCCTACCTAAGGCCATGTGGATTTTCTTTTATATTACTTTGAATGAATGAATTTTTTTAAAGAAAAATGTACTTACTATATACTAGATTCTGTCTCTGTTTCTCTTTTCTTTAATTCTATGTTTTCTCATATTCAGTTTTATAAGCATCACTTGAACAAGTATGTTTCATTCTTAGCCTACCGATAAAGCACGTAAAGCATTGAAATATAATTGGATTTAGTGAAATAAGTTCTGAGTTTGATAATACATTTCTTAGTGTAAAGAACTCTATCTCAGAGTTTTTTGAATCATTTTCTAAGAATGGTTCTCAGATGCCAATGATCTGGCTTTTGCCAGCATCAAACTGGTGTTATTCATATACTTTGTTATTTAATCATGCTTAGTTCTTTATGGTTTTTTAACTGTCATAAATTGATAAATGATTTGATTCCTCTTTTCAATTTCTATTTCTTGAAACCTCTCAATAGTGTTAATAACTGATAGAGACTATGCTCTAATGTTTTCCTCAGTACAGTGGTCCACAGATCAAAACAAACTATTTTTTTAAAAGCAACAGCCATAAAATGGATTCCCTTCTTTAAAGTACATGTGACAGAATAGAGGATACAGAAACAACCCTAGGCACCTTCAGCCATCTGATCTCTGACAAAGGGGACAAAAACATGCTGGAGGAAAGATAGTCTCTTTAATAAATGGTGGGAAAATATGTTTCCACATCCAGAAGATTGAATCTAGACTAATATATCTCACAATATACTAAACTAAAATCAAAATGGATCAAAGATCTAATGTTAAAATAAACACTGAATCTGCTGCAATGTAAAATAGGTAAACCTCTTGAAGACATAGGCATAGGCAAGAACCCTAGTTGCACAAAAACCAACAAATGAGATCATATCAAATTGAAAAGCTCCTGCACAACAGAGGAAACAACCAACAGAGTAAAAAGGCAACCTACAAAATGAGAAAAAATTTTGCCAGCTACACTTTGGACAGAGGCCTAGTATCTAACATATATAAAGAACTCAAAAAAATTAAACCTCCTTAAATGAAAGACTCAGTTAAAAAAAATGGACAGTTAAAATGAATAGAAACTTCTCAGAAGATGTACAGATAGCAAATACATGAAAAAATATTCATTATCTCTGGCCATTAGAGAAGTATAAATTAAAACAATACTGAATTCCATCCTACTCCAAAAAGAATGGTTATCATCAAGAAATTGACTAATAATAAATGCTCTCAAGGCTCTGGGGGAAAAGGAACCCCTCTACATTGCTAGTGGGAACACAAACTAATACGACTTCTGTGGAAATTAGTGTGGAGATTCCTCAAAAAATTAAACTAGGAATTCCATTTGACCCAGCTATTCCACTTCTAGGGATCTTTCTGAAAAATAGTTGGAAACATCATATTATAGTGATACATTTATATCTATGTTTATAATCAGCATGACTCGTAATAGCTAAATCTTGGAAGTGGCCCATATGTCCATCAGCAGATGAATGGGTAAAGAAAATGTGGTACTTAGACACAGTGAACCACTACTCTGCCATAAAGAAGGATAAATTTAAGTCATTTGTAGAAAAATGGATACACCTTGAAATAATAAGGTTAAGTGAAATAAATCACATACACAAATAAGCACATGGTTTCTATTAAAGGAGAAACTCAAGTATATGTAATTTAAAGAGACAAATGATAATAGTAGGGAGATGGATCTTTTGCAAAAAAAATGAAATGAGATTGAGAGAGAGGAGGGGGATGTAAAAAGAAGTAAGATGTGTTATCTGCATGTATAAACTCCCCACAATGAATGTAATAATGTACTACAAACGTGTACTGATAAAAATAAAAAAAGAGCTGGGTGTGGCGACTCATGCCTGTAATCCCAGCACTTGGGAGGCTGAGGCAGGAGGATTGCTGTGAGTTGGAGACCAGACTGGGCTACATAGTGAGTTCCAGGTCAGT